GGAAAATTTTCCGATCTCAATACAGTTGTTCTCCTTGATTCAGTAGCATACTCCATCTTCAAAAGTTGAATTTTGGACTATAATAGAAGATGCCTAAATCAAAATAGAGGAAGGGGAGAATCCATTGGGATTTCTACATAATATAGAGCTTGAAGTCGAGATACCCAAATTAAACCTAGCTAAAAGGGGAAGAAGAGGCAGCAACAATGGAGAAGGGAAAAAAATGAAGAGGAGCAGAGGAGACAGAGTCATAAAGAGGGGAATAATTTAGGAGCAAGGGCAAAATATATATATAATATAATATAATATAATAAATCATTTACAAATGACTTAAAATATTTAATATTTAAAATTCTACCATAAAATAGGTTGACTCTCAAAAATTCTATCCGGGTCACATATATTGAGACAGAAAAAATAACATATATCATTTTAAAATTATCAAAAAAGTATTAAAAATAATAATAATTAACAACTTAAAATATCTGGAATACATTTTAAAAGGGTTAATTTTATAATTTTATCCATATCACATAAATTAGGAGTTATTTGAAAGTTACATAAAAATATTACAAATCACAATAATTAATAACTTAAAAATTTTCTTTTTAAAAAGGTGCAAATTTGGACGACTCTTCAAATTTCATTTGTGTCACATAAATTGAGACAACAAAAAATAACATATATTGGGTCCATTTTAATTTAATTGTCTTATTTTTTTTTAGTTTTTTTTTATATTTAAAACTTAGGTAAAAATATTATAAATCATGATAATTGACAACATAAAATATGTTTTGAAAAAGATACAAAAAATTGCACTGATTCTTGAAGTTAATCTATCGTAAAAATACTATAAATCATGATAATTGACAACATAAAATATGTTTTGAAAAAGATACAAAAAATTGCACTGATTCTTGAAGTTAATCTATCGTAAAAATACTATAAATCATGATAATTGACAACATAAAATATGTTTTGAAAAAGATACAAAAAATTGCACTGATTCTTGAAGTTAATCTATCGTAAAAATACTATAAATCATGATAATTGACAACATAAAATATTTCAAAAAAATATACATATAAAAAATTTCGATTGATTCTTGAAATTAATCTATCGTTAAAATTTATGTATAAAATACAATAAATCGTGATAATTGACAACTTAAAATATTTATTAAAAAAACAGAAAAAAAA